TCAAGGTCACTCCTCACAATCGCAGAATTAGCAGGCATGCCAACACAGATATAGGAGAGCGTGGAACCCGGATCAATCAAGGCATGCATAACCGAATCAAATAGTATGAACGTACCCAAGATAACATCGGGACTAGGATCTGTGCGCCCATGCATGGCGTAGGTACGCGCTGGTGCCCGGCCTGACTGCTGCGGACGTGCTCTCTGCTGATTATTTGCGGCCGTAGACTGCTGACTCCGTGCTGGATGTGATGCGGCAGGCTGATCCAGAGCTCTAGGTAAAACAGGCTCGCTGCTAGGGTTTGTCGGGCAATGCCTCCTGAAATGCCCTGGCTGGCCACAACCCAAACATAAGCCTTGGGCGAGCCAACACTCGCCCGGGTGACGCCTACCACAATGTACACATTGCGGGTGGCTCCTCGTTCTGTTCGAGTTGCTAGCGGCGGCCGACGGAGACGGCCTCGACTTACTCCTCTTAGGCGGCGGCGCACTCGAAGAACCCTTCTCGTACCTCTTTCCCCCGAATCCAAAACTCTTCCCGCTCGGCCCAGTGCTGGCCGCAGGTCGCGGGTCTTTCGTCGCTCGATCCTCTTTCTTGGTTGCCTGTAGATCGTCCAAGCTCTTTTCCGTCTTCACAATCAAATCATACGCCGCATTAAAATCTGTCGTCGTGATCAGTGCGGCGTACGGCCTTAAGTCCGGCCGTAGCTTCTTGACGAACTCATTCAAACGATCCTCCGGAGTGGAGACCAGACTCGTCGCGTACTGGGACAAGTAGTCGAACCTATGTCTCAGTTCAAGAAGTGACATCCCCTCCTCCTTAAGCGCAACGAACTCATCGCGCCTCTCCTCGCGGTACCGGGTGGGTACATACTCCTTCGTGAAGGCTCGATCAAAGCGATCCCAGGTCCACGGCTTGGGCGTGTGTGGATCCTGGTCAATGCGCTTCCACCAACCATATGCTCCCTTCCGGAACATCTGGGACGCCAACTCCGAGCGATCAGCATCTGGGACTCTCAAATTCTTGAGTACCCGGTCCATTTGCTCAAGCCAATCCAATGCAATCTGGGGCTCCCCCATATTGTCTCCTCGGAACTTTTCCGCTCCATTATCCTTCAACATCTTGAAGGTAACGATGCGCGGCTGCGGCTGTGGTGGTGGCGGTGGCTGGAACATGGGCATAAACTGCGCCATGTGCTGCATATAATGGGCCATCATGGCCGGGAACATCTGCTCGTAGGCCACCTGCGGTATCGCCAACGGTGGCATCACTAGAGGTGGTACGACTGGCGGTGGTACAGCTGGTGGCTGCCCCGCTGGCGCAGGTTGATTCTGCTGTTGCCCTCCGTCACCCGGAGGCGTGAAACTCGAACCCTCGGTGTTCACCGTGTGCACGCTCACATGCTCCGGCTCCGAAACGTACTGACCGTGGGTTGATTCTTGATTCATTCTAAAATAATAAGGAAATTCCCAAATCATATCTTAACATATAACAGATAAAGCTATAAATACTTATTACCTTCCCGGGGCAGAGGAGTTACGTGAGATGCAGATGCGGCTGAATTATTCATTGTATTTTATTTTGAAAGGGTCCAAAGACCGATTTTAAAACCAAATGCTCCGATACCAAAATGTAACACCCCAACCCGCATGACCCAAACCCGTGAGATAGCGGACCGGTGTGCCACTGAATTGGTATCCGAATTTGCGACATTATCAGAACAATTTTAAACAAACGTTCTTTCAATACATATAAAAATCCATCGGAGTAATTTAAAATAATGCGGAAGCCTTTTTAAAGTCAAACAACTTGGGATCTTGCCCGAAAACGTAATAAGCATTAAAGTTAATTAAATAAAGCATAATCAA